CCTGAATCCTTAATTTATTTCTTGCACAAATAATTGACATCTTTTTTGTGCCAGACCAGCCAACAGTTCTCAATTCACCATCATTTCTGGTGCTTTCAAGCTGCTCCCATTTGCTGTCAATGAGAGGTCCTTTCTCATCTCTCCTGTTGTCCCTGACCCCTAGCTTGAATCCACAGTCTATCTCACTTTATAACTTGGAGCTACAGCTAATCAGAAGGATTAGGCTTCTTCATCACCCAAATCTATAGGCACTTTTTAAGCTGCTGGTTACAGCCACAAACACTCACCCTCCCTTTACATTTGGAACAGACTCCTTCCAGAATATTACTTCATTCTAAGCTTTTCCATGATGGTTTCAAGATATGTCCCCAAATTCTTTGATTCCCTTTCTTTCAAGAGGTGAAGCCTCACTCCCCTCATGATGTGCATTGGACTTAGTGACTCACTTCTAACAAAAAGAATGACCCAGAAGTGATGGCATCTGACCTTGGAGACCAAGTCACAAAAGGAACTGTAGTTCCTTCTTGCTCTCTGAGGAAAGAGACCATGCCATGCCATGAGGGCACTCAGACAGCCTCCAGAGAAGGCCAAGGGACGAGGGGCTGAGGGCTCCTGCTAACAGCCATGTGAGTGCCCCATCTAGGGCATGGATCCTTGGCCTAGTCAAGGCTTCAGATGCCTGAGGCCCCTGTTGACATTCTGACTGCCAACTGACAGGAAGTCTTGGAGCCAGACCCACCCCACTCAGCCATGCTGAAGTTCACGATGCACAGAGACTATGAGATAACAAATGTTTGCAGTTTTAAGCCACTTAATTCTGGGGAAATTTGTTACTCAGCATTACTAATGCATTACTAATGCTCTCTCCAAGAACCTTCTGTTGTATTGCCCTTCTTGTCATAATCACCGTTAGGCATAGCTTTAAAAAAAATTTATATATATATATATATATTTGAGAGGGAGAGAACATCGATTTGTTGATTTGTTGTTCCTCTCATTGATGCATTCATTTGGTTGATTCTCTTATGTGCCCTGACCAGGAATCGAACCTGCAACCTTGGCGTATCAGGACAAAGCTCTTACCAACTGAGCTACCCGGCCATAGCTAGGCATATCTCTTTGGGGGTTTGAGCTTGGGCGTACAGGGGCCTGCCCTGATCCTTCATCTATATAATTTGTGGAACATTTAAAGCATATACACAGCCTCACCCTCTAGAAATCTTCCTCAACAGATGGGGTCAAGCATCTGTATTTAATTAAATGATTTTTAAAAGAATGATTCAAGGATTTTGAAGAATACTTTTGAGTCAGAACTTGTGCTTTTTTCACTATAAAAAGCCACAGGCCTCTCTATTCTGTGTCCTTTCTTTGAGACTGAATGGGGGGAGGGCACCTCACTTTTCAGTATAGCCACTTCAGACACCGGGAACCCAGCAAACAACAAGCTCAGTGCTTTTCCTATGAACCCATGAGCAGCCTTCTCTAGCCTGAATTGCAGCAGATTTACCTGAAGGCTGATTGCGAGGCCTCGCCCCTGGAATTCCTAATGCAGTGGGTCCAGCATGGGGACATTTCTAGTAAGTTCCCAGGTGATGCTGTTGCTGCCACGGATGGTCTGTGACCACTCTCAGAACCACCACTGAAAAGCACTGGGCCTGGTGTGTAAACTCTGCCTCAGGAATTGCCCAGATCCTCACTATACTGCAAGCCACAATAACAAAAGCAAACAAACAAAATCTCATTCATTTTGCCCGAGACAAAGGTAATCCACAGCGACAGAAATCCTAGTAGTGCTTATTTGGGGCCATAACAACTGGAAAGGGAATGTAAAGGGGCCTTCGGGGATGCTTGGAACATTCTAGTTCTTAATCTGAGTGGTGGCTCCACCGAGGTGTTCCCTTTGCAAAAATCCACTTGAGCTGTACACAATAATTTGGGCACTTGTCTATGTTATACTTAAAATCTTCCTTAAAATTAATAGTAATGATAAATGCTGTCGAAAACCTGGGCCTCCTCTTCACTATACCTCTGTTTACAAGTTGGCTTTCCCCCAGGGGTACGCTGGCAACCCAACAAAGAAAATATTTTTTTCTTTTTGCTCACATCAGTTGTTTATGTATGTGTCTGTGGGTGATACCTGAGGAGTGGCTGCTTCCCAAGCCATCTTTTTTTTTTTTTAATTCCTCACCTGAGGACATGCCAAGAGAGAGGAAGGGAGCGAGAAGGGGAAGAGAGAGAGAGAGGGAGAGAGAGAGGGGGAAGGGGACACAGAACACAGAGAGAGAAACATTGATGTGGAAGAAACATCAATCAGTTGCCTTTCATGCATGCTCCAACTGGGGCTCAAACCCGCAACCCAGATATGTGCCCTGACCAGGAATTGAACCGGCAACCCTTCAGTGCACAGTATGATGCTCAACCAACTGAGCCTCTCTGGCCAGGCCCAAGCTATCATTTCTTTACAAACAAATATAGGTCTCCTAAAGAAAATATTTTAAAAGAAATATTTGCCTATTTTAAATGTCCAGAACAATAGATATTGATGGAATAATTTGAAAAGCACATTGAGCTCCCATTAATGCTTCTCGAGAATCCATTTGAGTTTGGCCATGCAACTTGACCAACAAGTAAGAACTTCCAGAGGGAAGGAAAACTCAGCCTAGATTAACAGTACATTCCTTTGAAAAGTGCCTAAGAGGCATGACCTTTTTTTTCCTTCGGATGAGGACAAATGCCACCTAAAGAATCCCATTTCATTACATCAAGCTTTTAGGGTCTCAATGAGGAGGCTTGTTTTGTAAATTTCTTACCAAGAAAACAAAAAAAGACTAATTATTGCTAAAACTGCCCCCAGAGACATTTCACTTTCTGCATCATTCCTTTCCTCCCCTTTAAGTTTATGAGTAAGACGGTCTACTCACTCTAAAAGGTTGGCTTCAAATGTAAACGAGGCCAGGTAACTTGGGACTTGTGATTTTCAGATGATCTGCAGAATTGTTATTTTGGAACTCAGGAGCTAAGTAGGACACGTTGGGACATGTTTGCTGGTACTGACTTCACAGCTGTGGAGGACAGTGGCAGCTCTCCTACTGGAGGTCCTCCAGTCTAAAGGAGACACTGTGACACCATAGTTCATCCAGGAGCTTTTGAGCCTAACCAGTGTCACCAACTGTGTGGCCTTGGGTAAACAACTTCTTTCTCCCTCCCTCTAATTTTTCCTTCTGTTAAATGGGAATAATAATGTCAGTCAGAAGGCTACTAGGAAAATTACATAATATAAAATATTTAAACTTTGCCTGGCACATAAGAAATACTCAGTGAGGAGCATCCTAATTATTAAGGGATGAAAGGAAATTAATAAATGGACCATTCCATCCAGTGTCAAATTTCCTAATCCCTGTATCTTTCTAATGCAAACATGAATGAATTAATGGTTATTAAAAGACATATATACATGGATGAATAAAATTTTTTTCTCTGCAGAAATTATCTAAAAATTATAGATGTGGACAACAGGTTCCTGGTTGTCAGGGGTTTGGGATGGTGGGAGTGAGGGGAACACTTGTCGCTGGAGGGAGAGCTTTGTGGTGATGAACTAGTCTTGTTCCTTGACCATGGTGGTGGTTACAAGAATCTGCACATCACAGAATACCATAGACCCATACACTTAGATTGCATTAGGTCAGTCTCCTGGCTCTGGTATCCTATATAATAAAAGGCTAATATGCAAATCAATCAAACGGCAGAATGACTGGTCTCTATGATGCACACTGACCACCAGGGGGCAGATGCTCAATGTAGGAGCTGCCCCCTGGTGGTCAGGGTGCTCACATAGGGGTAGCACTGCTCAACCAGAAGCTCTGAGCTGGGCTCATTGCTGATGAGTGCAGTGGTGGAGGTGGTGGGAGCCTCTCCTGACTCTGTGGCAGTCGGACATTCCTCGAGGGCTCATGGACTGCGAGAGGGCACAGGTTGAGCTAAGGAACCCCCCCAAATGCACAAATTTCATGCACTGGGCCTCTAGTTGTATTATAAAATACAAGCATGTGACATAAAATATAACCATGATCTGAGAAACTGGGTGAAAGGGTATACCCAAACCTTTACACTATTTTTGCTACACCATGTTAATCTACAAGTACTTCAAAATAAACAGTTACACACAAAAAGTACCTGAATAGGTACTTTTTACCGCAATTACAGTATTCAGGTCTCTCACTCTGTATCTCATGTGAACTAGTTGGAGTTCTGGCTTAAGCTTTGGTGTTTGACTTTAAAGGTTAACATTCTCAGTGCATATATCTTCCCATTGTTATCCCTTTCCAGGCCATCTCGATCCTTCATTACACATGTCTGAGGATTTAGTGGTGGTTAAAATGTGCCACAGGCAGGATTCTTAAAGAATACAAAGTTTAATCATCATTGATTCTAAAATATTCACAATTAACTCTGAGCAGTAGATTCAGTATGTGGCTAGATATTTCCATCTATTTTCTGCCAGCAGCAGCAAGGATATGAGTATGTGATTAAAATACTCTGTGGGTTGAGAGGTAAGGCAAATTAATATCAGTTTATAGTTTAGAAGTCTTGAAATGAAACTACTAATCAGCCAATCAGCTCTATAAGAGGAAAACCAGACATTCTTAATTCAGGTGATATGGTGGTTGGATGGCTAGTACCTGCACTAATTAATGCCTGGGTCCTTACTAAATGTTTGTGGATGAATGAGTGAGTGAGTAAATGAACAATGGGACCATCATGATAAACCATGTGAAACTGATAAAGTCTAAAGGTAAGAGTAAAGAATTCATTCAACTTTGTGGCCCAGGATTGGAGGAAGCATGACCTGCCAGAAAACTTTCTAACCCTTCTCTATTTGCTTCTCTAGGCAGCTTGAAATCCACTCTCCAGATGCTAAGCACACGGTGATCCTAAGGGGCAAGGACTCAGCCACTGCCCAGGCCTGGTTCAGTGCCATCCACTCCAACGTCAGTGACCTGCTGACCCGAGTGATTGCCGAGGTCAGAGAGCAGCTGGGGAAAACAGGCATTGCTGGCAGCCGAGAGATCAGGCACCTTGGCTGGCTTGCAGAAAAGGTAAGGAAAATGCCGACAACTCCCCCTCCACATTTCCCCCAAGGCGTGCCCAGCACTTGTGGCAACCACTGAAATCCGTTGTCATTCCATAGGCTGATTCTCTCAGTCACAGTCTGTTTAGATTTCATGTTGGTATACAACAGGTTTGCATTTGCATTTTACAGGGTCTGTGTCTTAATCAACTTTGATTTCCCACATATACTCCAATAAATATGTGGTCAGCTGAATGGATGAATGAGTGAGCAATGGAAGGATAGGTTGATTCTCACATCTACTCATGAAGGGCAGGGAAAATAAACTCACAACAGAGCTATTGCCTTGAGAGGTAAGGAAATTGAAACTGTTGCTTAAAAGGGTTTGTGTGGGTTCTGCTG